ACAAACTGGAAAAATTGGAAAAAACCATTGAAATGTGGAAACATTAACCCAAGACACTTTAATATATTAGAAATGTGATATATTTTGATTGATCATGGTACATTACAATTAACCAGGTGATTGGTTAACTACGATAACAGTCTTCACACTAAAAATATTCTTTTCATTTTTACTTTTTTCTTTTGACTTAGAGCTGTGAAAAAAATGTTAAAAACTGGTTATTGACCAGTCATTATTTTAAGTAAAATATTCTTGTGTTAATAAATAAAAATTAAATATATGGGGTTTTTAAAATAAATGTCAAGATAAAATAATAAAAAAAGATTTTTTTGTTTTATTATAAAATATGGACATAATTAACATCTGCGTATCAAAAGTCTATAAATATTTTAGGCAATTAAAGCAACTTTTTTTTTATACTAATGAGTATAAATTATATAAATATTATATTATCATAGTCTAAGTTGTTACAAATAATGAAGTTATAGATACCTTCGTTGTGTATGTATAAAAGTATAAAATAAGATAAGTATATTATAATAAAATATGTAAAAGATACAACTGTGAAGTTTTTAACATTAAAAACAATCTACATGCACCAACCTTGTGACTTTATTGTGCAACAGTGCTTGGCAGCAGAATTTTGTCAGTAACTATACCTAAAGTGTGAGAATCGTGGCGAATGTTCACGAATTAATGTAATGTAATTATGTTAATCTATTCTGTATACGGTATACCATAAAATTGATATATGGGACGAAGTCAAAAACAAGTTCACTGATTTTCATCTCGCGTAGAGCTATTAAAGATAAATAATTCGCCTGTAACCTCATTATGCCGTGTGATTTAGTTATTACGGCTATTTTAAAATAAAAAAATAAAAAATAAAGGGGACACCGCAGCACCGTTTGGCTTTGTTGCAGTGCAGTGCAGTTAACATTTTATTATGAATCCCTCCATTTGTATAATATGCGTATTTAGTAATGGTGTATACACCGAGCCGGACACAATAGATTGGAACGTCCGGGGGCATGATGTTTAGCGCAAAAACCGAAGAGGGATCCACCCCCTTGTGTATATGTGAGGGCCGCGTTTATATTTTTTAATTAACATGAATAATACTTGGTGGTGGGTTATTTAAGGATTTATTACTCATCGCGATTACGGTTTTAATGTTGTTTTCATTTTTAAAAAAATTTTTTTTATATTTTGAATTAACCTACTACTTTGTTCCGCAATATTTTAATTACCCTATATACGCACAAATTCCACTTATACCTACACACACTCACCTACCCTCGATTTCGCATTTACATAATTTTGCCGTTTTATCGTTCAAGTGTGTATTTAATCTTATAATTGTTTACTGCGATACAAGGCGGAGTTTTAATATGTAGAGTATATTTTATACACCTACATGTAGGTATAGTACATGTATAGCTGTTACCCTTGCAGTCAGTTATATTATATTACACTATTAGTAATTATTATATATTTTGATGTTATTATCGCATCTAAAAATGTTACAGTATAATAGCACTATAGAGATTAATATATTATATGTATTTAGATACTAATATAGAGCATTGAGCAACACATTCGGCGATGGTTATTCATCTATAGCTGTATTAATTAGGATTATGCGCGATTAAACGATTATAAAAAAAAAAGAGAGGCAAATCAATTAGAAATTTACAGATCTGGTGTTGCTTACTGATAGATCCAGTACGATGATGAAAAAAAGTTAGTTGGAACGACTTAAATTATGGTTAATTTAGGGAAGTAATACATTTATAATTGGAATAACAAAATAAATAGTTCTGCTAACTAAATGTTTAGTTTAAGCAACTAAGAATATGCCTCATTAATTAATCTTTAAAAATAATAGTAATAATAATAAATGTAAAATAAATGTAAAGGATCCGTCTTTCTGGCTTTGATGACATTCTTAATTATTTAAATTTACAAGCTTTAAAAGTAAGGAGACATAACTGTCACGTCTCATTTCTTTATAAATTAATGAATAACATTGACTACTCTTTCATTCTTAGCCTATTATGTATGCAATTAAATTGTATTATAGTGTATCTGTGTTATCTTGCTATTTAGATTTACCGTATATATATATATATATCGCATTGTCAATTGGACATGTACAAATATGATAAATGTATTGTGTATTTATTATATTAACCATATTTTTAGTTGGGCCAACTATGTATTTTTTCCGTGTATAATAATTATTAAAGTCATAGTTGTTAAAAATACGATTTGTTTAGGTACTTACCGAAAATAAAAATGACAAAATAATTACTTTGAAGAATTGTTAGTACCTATGTGACACCACCCGTACCATAATCATACATTATATGAGATAATGATACAATTGCACAATAATATGTAGGTTTAAGCTCTATATACAAAAGGATAACAAAATATAGTATACATATACAATCGCATTTTATATTTTTTGTGTGTTCAAGTTGTACATTTCCTTTAGTAAAATAATATAATAACATAATTTATAACAGTGTGCCATGGGGAAAAACAGGGGTAGTAATGAAAAATGACGGATGGATTCTCGTGTGATATATTCTGTACTACGCTCCGTTAGGTTTAAGGAGGGTGTTAATAGAGGTGAGAACGAGGATCCCTGCCACGATGGTGTTATATAGGGATTGTATACAATTTCTTCCACAAACACGCAAACGTTCTAACTTTTATCTTATATCAGTAGTTCTATCCCACTACTACACGGTTAACGCATGTATATTATGTACTGACTTTTTGTACAACTCGTGACGTCGGTAGGTATTTTATTGGTAATAAGACTGATTGCTGCGCTTTAGATGCCGAACATTCTATATGGGTTATTGATGAATACGGATGCGATGCAAATGCGATAATGATGCCATCAAGCACGCCTCTATTGTGCAGTTTACGATATAACAAAATATAATTTTATATATACCATACAGAGGTACAGTGCTTTTTGTCTTGGTCTCTCCGATGGGTTTTGATGACAAATTATTGGGCGGCAACGGTAGCGATATAATATAATAAGTAGGTATTAAACGCCTATATTATAATATAACAATACTCAATACGCGTGTTGTCCGTCCGTTGTAAATCCGCATATAATATGCCTATATTGCCGACCACAAAACGAAGGGGAGGACTTGTTCTATCGTTATGCTGATGATAAAATTATAATAATATATACAGAGTAGGTATATGATGATCACATAGTCATCGCCATTATGACGGTGACGACAACCGTTATTAATTATTATATTAACCTATAGCTACTATATATTTTAGTGGGTATTATTATTTTATAGTTGCGGTTATCAATTGAGAGAAGCATAGGCGCAATTTCAATTTTTAACTTGAGGGGGGCTGGACATTTTTTTAAAATATATATATATATATAAGTAAATATATTTTTGTATTTTAAAATTGTATGCATAATTGCGGTTATCAATTGAGAGAAGTCACTAGTCAGGGACATGCCTAATATGGTGTAGAGTCTACACTCTGTATACTAACTATTATGTACAGCTGTGTCAGTGGTCACCAAGAATGACGATTTTGAGTAAATACAAGGACATCTTGGCAGGGGTAAAACAAGTGAACCTTAACTCTTCCTTGAATTCGTCTTGTCAAAAACAAAATGATAATTTATACGAATCATGTTTCAAGAAATAATAATAAATATTTTATTCTGATTTTGCTTTATCGAGGTAAAAATATTTATAAATTAGTTACAATATAATTGTGAAAAATAATTATATAGTATATACTATATACATTTAAAATTATGTATAGTAATCTATAAATCTTTATCACAACAAAGCAAAACTTGCAAATAGGTATTGTACCTATATGTGTCGCATAAGCTCAAGAGCAGGGATAGATAATATTTGAAATAGTGCGTGTTATCAGTTAAATTATATTTATTTTATTAATTATATTGTATTGACATTTTTAAGTGTTGTATTATAACAGCAATGATATACTATACAGTAATAATACATAGTATCTTACCCACCTTCTGACCAAATATCACAGAATTATTATTAAAATATAATACTATAAAATATATTATTAATTAAAATATTATACAATATAAAATAGTTACAATATACTTGTATATTCTGTCTCGAAATACTTGTAAGCTTTATTTTGTATTTATTTACGCAGAAGAAATAATATATGTATACTGCATATTTTATAAGTAATTTATATACTTATGTTAGATATAACTGTTTGTAATTCTTTACACGTTGACAATTTTTAAAGACCAGTGCATGACGACACGGGTTATTACTTATTAATTACGATACAAACATTCGAACTTGATAGAAGTTTGAGCGATTTTCGTATAAAAATAATAATAATTTATGTATCTATAATAATATTGTTATATATTATTAGCTGTTATTCCCTACCGCTAGTTCAGAGACGTTCGACGATGCGTCAATAATTATTTAATGTAGGTAATAATTATATGATAAGGTATATTACATGTGTGTATAGAGAGAGAGGACGTCTATTGGGCACGTATGCGTTTTATGTTCCCCTCTCGCTGTATTTTTATCATATTTCCCGTCGTCCCCCTTCACACGGCCCCCGGTCCAACGATTCGGGGGGCGTGGCCGGCTCGGGGACACACGCAAACCCCTGTTAACCGTAACGAACGAACATCATAATAACAAAGCATTAAAATCGAGTTCGGTTGAGTAGTAATTGATTAACACGGCGGCGGCTAGCGACCGTTCGGGGCCGACCGACCGGCGCGGCGGCGGCGGGCAGCACCGCTCGCGGCCACGGTGGGCGGGCACCGGCGTCCGTCCAATGTGCTTCGCGGTGGGCGTGGCCGCACGCGGGGTGAGACCGAGACGGCCGCCGGTCTAGGTGTGCGAACGCTCGCATTTATCGTTGGCCGTTTTTTTCGGTCACTTCATCGGACCGCCGTCGTCGTGGTCGTGCTGCTGCCCTCGTCGCATTATCATTATTAGTATCATATAGTTTTCGGTGCCGAGCGGTCGTTAAAAAAAAAAACACACCAAAATAGTTTAAACTTTTTTATTTTATTTCGAACATACCTCCTACTCGTCGATCGTGATTTATATGGTGCGATTTCCATCGGTAGCTGTTAAACCGCGTGCTCGTCTATAGTATAATATTGTTTGCGTATATGATAATTATTACGCTGTGTCGATCGAGTGAGCCGGACGGATAAAATCGTTTGAACAATACACAACGGTGTCCAAGGGGTGGTCGTCGTTGGACGTCACGAACAACCCCGCTGTCAACGCAATCACCTATTTTGGAAATTGTCCGGAGTGCCAGATCATCACCACGACGGCATCACCGGGAGCACAGAGCGGGACGACCAGCGAGGCTGAGGACTCGTCCAGGTTGGTACAATTAAATAATATAGTACATTTTTTCATTACAATTATTTATTTGTACCGAAATAAATGAGTTTTTTTAATTATATACTCGCTAAACATATTATTATCAAGTGTAGGTATATTTGAACCAGTTAAAATGTAAAAAATATGTTCTAAAAAAATTGGTATTTTATACCGATCATGTAGGTATAGTATCTTACAATATAAACAATATTCATTGGGTGATATCGTTAAATTAAAATTTATTTTTGTTTTACATAATTTTTTTAAAGATCAAGAAAATTTCAACTTAAAACTGTATACCCGCGTGTAGACGATTATTATAAAAATCCACGTGGGTCTTTTTAGAGACGTTAATATTGTATAGTAGATGCTATTAATAAATAGATTGTTAAGACTAATTTTTTTTCAAAACGATTTCACGAAGGTTTTTAAAATTACCGTATCAGTTTTAACGAGAATCATAAAATCGGTCAATGTATATTATAAATTTTACACTAATACATCATTTGTTATGTTGTGCTACACATAAAAATCTAGGTATTAAAAAATAGATAATAATAATATAATATTAAATCATTTCATTATTTCTTAGTATACCGTTTTCAGTAGGTATATAGTAAATTAATTTTTGAGTAAATAATTGTTTTGAATAGCTACTGTTATAAGTTTATAATACAAATTTGTAATTAGTAAAGTGTGTAATACATAACGTGTAAAGACTTTATCAGCAATTATTCCTATTTACATTTTATTTTATTACTATAGCCGAACATGTCATAATATTAATGTGATAATATTATTATGTAGTTAAATTTACTACGAATAATAAAAAGTTAATACCTAAGACCGATGGTAGGTTTAGTCATAGGAACCATTAAATTAAAAAAAAGTACAACTTGTTTCTATAATTAGTTATAGATAGGTATTTCTATTAAATTATAATAACGTCATATTCATTCTTGTACCTATAGGTCGTCGTTAGGCTCAACCATGATGCTATCACAGCAACAACATCACCACCACCACAACATGTTGTCGCCCATGTTCAACTTTTTGGACGTGCCGTGCAGCAGCAGCCCCCCTTTGGCCGCGCTGCACACCATGACCGAAATGAAGAACGGGTGCACGGCCGGCAACCCGCACGGTATCGAGCAAATACTGTCGCGGCCGCCGACCACCGGGGCCGCCGTGGCCATCAGCCACCAGCAACGGGCGTTTAACAGCGTGGCCGGTATCGCGGCCGCCGGTATGGCCGCCGCCGCCTCGTATTTCCACAACGGCGGCGTCAAGCACCCGGCCACCACGCTCGCCGACCTGACCACCAGAAACCTGTACTGGCCCGGATTCCAGGGGCTGGTCAACAACCCAATCGCTTGGAGGGACAGGCTGGCCAGTTGTAAGTATATAATGTCATAATATTATAGTAACTGTTAATGTACAGACATTTAGTATATAAGAGTTATAATTTAATATAAGTAAATATCAGATGACATTAATATAACGAAAGACGAAACGCTTTAACATAATTTTCCCTTAAGACTATATATTTACCTCTACTTAGAGACTAGAGTTGTATATTTAATTTTGAATTAACTGTTGAATTTATTATAATTTGCTATATGACCAACGTTGTATAGTTTTCGAATGATATATAGGAATAGGTAATATAATATGCTGAAGACTGAAGTTGCAACATAAGCAGCAGCGTTATTTTGTATAGTAGCAATAAAGTTAAAACGCCCTTATAACCGCTATATTTATGAGCTTCTCGTTTATGTCTCACGCCCTCAAAGTTTATATTATTGCCTAAAAGTGGCGAGAAAAGAGTAATTTTAAAGCAATTACGTTTTGCATTTATCGCGCAAACGATTTTAGTATATAATTATAATTTCCGCTGTTTAAAACTCTTTAATTTTTTAAACCAGTTGCATACAAATTTTGTCATTTAAATCGAGTAGTTTCAAAAAACAGCTGTACGAGCTAAAAAAAACCTACTACATAATTTGTAAATAAAAATATCAGTTGGGTTCAAACTATATGATCTATTTCTATAAAAACACGTTTTATATATTAGTTTGACGTTTGTAATTTCTGTTTTAAAACGTGCTCGGTGTTATTAAAACAAATCGTGCTTCATTTTTGAGTACTATATAAAGTACTAAGTTGTCTTTATAATATACATTCTATTGGTATGTCATGTTAATGTACCTACACCTAAGTGATTTTTGGTTTTTTTTTTATGAGAACCGTTCATTTTTAATTAAATCGTCAAATATAAAATATAATTATTTTTGTTAGGTGAAAAATTCAAACAAGTGCTTTTATGACTGCGGTTTTGCTACTGTAGTCGCCTTTATTATTACTAATATAGCTTATTGTGCGACGCGCTTTTTTTAACAATATTTTTTGCGGTTAAAAACTTTCGGTTTGTCTATCTATTCATATTACACACACTGCACATAACGTATGTATAAACTGCTATGGATAAACTGTTTTTTTTATTGGCCTATGATTTCCATGGTCAATGTGTGTTTGTATAGTGACAAATGACGTCCTCGGGCAAATATCGGCAACCGCCGTGGCGGTCAAAACCGACGGCGGGGCATCGGTTGGTAACAGATGTGCTCGATTGCTGCAAAACCACCCTTTCCTCCTATATATATATATATATATTTATATAATATAATATATATTTTATCCTTTTACCCGGTCGTGTTGTGTGGCCTGCTCGGCTGCGGACGCACAAACTTAGTTTTCAGCATTAAAAAAAACAAAAAAAATAGTAGAGGGGGTGGGGGTGGATAAACACGCATTCCAGAAAAAAATACACTCGACACCCCTAACCACCCTCCCTCTCGTACCCCTACAACCCCCGCCGCTTCGGTTGGAAAAAATATATCCGTGGGATTATTCGGGGATACAACAACGTTAAAAGGTTTAGGTATACTTCGTCACATCATTTTTTTTTTTTTATCCCCTCGACGAGGTGGTCGTCGTGGTGGCTGCATGGCAATTTTTTTCCCTTGAAAATTTAACGACCGTATATAAAAAATATAATAGTAATAATCTGTATATAAGAATAAGTAAAAACTCATCGGACGAGTGCGATGCGCGTTTCCCGCCGTGTGTGTCTAATTGGCGTAATGACGGTCAGCGCACACTATTTTTTTTTTCAATTACAATCCTTATAGCCGACACTAACAGCAAACAAAGGACCATAAAAAACAATAAATAGGTATACCAATACCTCCGACGTGTCACCGGGTCGCGAAATTAATTGGTTTGGTTTATGGGCGCTCTTGTATTTTCTAAAATAGTAATAATATATAATACCTGTAGATAACTGAATCTATACATTATTATAGAGTATGTGCATAGCCGCGTTGCACGTCAAGTTCAAACGCATTGACCGCACTTCACTCTTTCAGTAGCGTCTCTATGCGATATCACCGGTAAAATATAATTTTTATCATCATGTTTATTTAGAGCTGCAGTCTAGACAAACGGTGTATTTGCTAAACTTAAACACCATAATTGGCTAAATGAACAAAAAAGTATCAAGTGTTTATAACGTTTATACCTATTTTATTAGATAATTATTCAGATTACCAACACATATTTTCATTGTGTAAAATTGATTAATAAACAATAATTGTATTAAATGTAGTTAGATAGAAACGCTGGCGTTACATATTATACATTATATACTTGAGTATGTATTTTTCTTTTGTTTTGGCTCTATAAGCGCAAGCGTAATGTACAGCAACCGCGAGGATTATACGACGGCGGTCCCCTCGCCTAAACTACCCTCTGGAAATATTCGAGGGGGTCGTAACATGGCCGTCATTATACCCTTCTCCGCCATATTAACTTAGCCGTGGCCGACATTCTTAACATGGTTATATATACCTACACTATTCTACCGGTGTGCGGTTTTGGAACTCGATTTATTGCAGATACACCATATATATATAACAATATCTCGGTAACGAGATTTATATGTTCGCAGTACTCGTTAAAATATGTATACAGTGTTTCAATTAAACTAAAGTAATAAGATTTTGTCTATACATCAAACTCGTTGATATCTGCCATAATATATAGTATATATTTTATTGTTTTGTAACTGTATTACTGTGATTTAACAGTATAACGTGCACGCATATGTGAATTCTTGTGATAATAGCAGGATGGGTATTATGCCGTTTGATCTATATGTACCTAATGTATAGACATTATAACATGTTGAAACTTGAAACGGTATAAAGTAGGTATAAATGGAGATAAATTATGCGAATATGCGGCTCGGCGGGTTAATTCACGTATAAATAATTGCTCGTGACTAATTGACTGACGTGTGTATATATATATTTATATATTTTAGGAAGAAGGAAAAAAAGAGGGACAGACACCTTTTGGAATAATTAGCTTATCCCGGCAGCAGATGTTTCATATTGTGTATATATAACTTGTAGTATATATATTATATGGAACGGCGGGAAGAATATAATATAATATCCGCTTGCTGCGTTAAAAAGGACAATATGTCGTGCGGTGCCCCATTGTTAAGTTCCCCCTAGCAGCCATTTTGTTATAGAATATGTAATAATAATAATTTATAATGATTTGTCGGATAACAACGGACATGCACTTTTGCATCATCAGTAAACGGTGGCCGGGACATAAATGATTTTAATAAATCTTCCTAGTTGTGTTTTATATGGACTCACTAAGTACCTTTAAATGTGAAAAAATATTCTACAATTTTACTTATTACCTATATAATGACGTTCAACAGTGATTATAGTGATATTAGTGGAGACAACAAACGCGCTTGTGATGTTATTTTATCGAAGACGTTTTTCATCATAATAATATTATATTATATATCATAAAATAGACATAAAGCGCCTAATTTACCGTCGATACGCCGTCGTGTAGGTTTGTGTTGTATATTTATAATAATATATACTCTGAAAGCGTCCAGAAAGTTTTTTTCCAGGCCTGAGAACACCTGTCTCGCCCTCTCCGCCCTGGCACTGCTGCTTTGCGGTTGTCCCAAGCTGTTGCAGCTCGAAAGCAATGTGCGGCGTGGCGAAAGTGTTATGGCGTGCGGTAATCCCCGGGAACTGACCGTCAGAGACGGCGGGGACGGCGGGGACGGGTTGTAAGGGAAGGTCGAGGGGGATGTTGCCCTTCCTCGCCGCAAGGTCCCCAAAGCGGCCGGCAATATCGTTTTCAATCTACACTGCGAGCTATTCAATTAGCTTCCGTCACAGTGTCAAACAATAGTAGGGGGGTTGTGGGGGTGTTCTCCCTTATCGTTATATACACATACACATACACATACACACACACCCCATATACACCGACGCAGCGTCCGCCAATTTCATAAGGGTCAAATTATGTAATGATTTTAAGGGACGGTGGTCCTTGTTCCGCAATATTAAAGCTTAATATAATATCGACCCTCTTGAATGAAATCATCATATTCGGCCCTGATTCTCGTTTTGTTTCAAATATTCACCGTCGCGACAACTGTACTACTGCCTTAACAGCTGCATACAATTAATACAATATGTCAACTTAATTTGTCGACTATGTATAAACATATTAACATAATTAAATTATATTAATAAAAGATGATACTGGAATTTACCAATATAATTTTGTAAATGTGAGCTATATACTGAAAAATGTAGCTATTAAATATAAAAAAATACCTATATATTGAACGGGATGCAATCAGTATCCCCGGTAGCGCCTGTGTAATAAATAGATGAACACAATTCTGTCGAGTAAACTATTTACAAATTATACAATACATTTTGTTAGGTTATTATCACTTGTTAATTGTTATCTATATTTCGTTGCTTTTCCAAAGATGTCTATACTTCTATAAATCCAATAAGAATACACGGCGTTTACACGCTGTACCGACATTTCTAAATCAAAAAACTCTGATTATTAAATAGATATATTATAGTAATTGTCTTTAAATAGCTCAAAGCTTTTGTCAAATATACATATAGAGGAGGGTTTAATAAATGTTACCACGTTCTTGGGTTTGACAAAGCTCGATTGTTGTTGGCCAAACAATAATACCTAATAATCATTAATCCTTTGTGAAAACTATTCTTAACCCCAATATCGGTTTTGGCGGTTAAATAAATTTGGCAAACGGCCAACCGACTCGCCAGCCCGGACTGTTATAATTTTTTGAAATGAATACATAAATTTTGGAAATCATAGCGTCGCCGGTTAAGTAGTATAGCTGTTGATTAGCCGCACGATTCTTTCAGTTGACATGCACAGTTTACAGTTGGTTACTATATAGTATACACAATATTATTATGTAGGTATGTATATGTATACACGGTAAACAGAGATTTTTGGCTTTCGGAATAGATCATCGTCGTTCGGTAAACGATAATAAAATAACATAAACGCGATTGCAGTTGAATATAGGAGAGAATAGACACACATACACACACGCAGATGAAAATAACGTTTACCGTGGGCTATACATGTGTATGAACAAATGTGTGTGTTTTTATATATATCTATATATATATATTATATACATTTATATTGCCGCCGCCGTTTTCGTTGCGGATTGTGTTAACAAAATGAAATTCTCGTTGACACGCTTTTCTCGAGAACCCCGAATATCACCTCTCTCTTATCCTCGTCTCTCTGTATATATATATAGTGATAAAAACATAACGCCCCTTATATTCTGTATACGTCCTCCCCCATCCAGGCTCTCGTCCCGTCCGTCCGCCTCCCTTCTCGCATTTTCCCTTGTGGATTTTTCCCCGGGAAAAGCCAACGCTATTCGCCACCGCTACAGCTATTTATTTTCTCCGCACGCGTTCGTTTTAAACGTGTTTTATGTTGTTGTCGGGCTCTCCTTTTATTATATTACTTTTGCTCGTTGTTTTAAACGCAATATATATATATATATATTTCATATGTGTGTATGCGAGAGAGAAAAACAGAGCTAGCCTGCGGTTGTGCATCGTTTGGCGTCGTCCTGTTGGAAAAATCGACCGCAGCGATCATTCGGCCAGATTGCTGCGTTTACGATATTATTGTATAATATAATGTGTGTGTATTTTTCTTATATTGGAAAACAAAACTCTGCCGGGGAAAATATTATTTTATATTTACACACACACAAACACGCAGTGTTATTGTTTCGCTGTTACACGACCGAAAATACATTTTCTTTTCTCTCGCCCCTAAAACTCGATAATAAGCGCGTCGAGTATAGTTTTGCAAATGGTCGGCAAGAAAACTTTACGACGTTCGGATATAACATCAGAAATATTAACTATATATATTTATGTATAATGTCGTTTTTGGTGTAGTTATTTTTCCATCGGTTGCGCTGTATTATTATATTACATTGAAATGACAACCGGGGATAAAGTTTTAGACACATGGAATGATACGAAATCGACGATACGTCGTGTCCTATAAGACCAGTTTTATTGTTCCAACATACTGCTAATAATTATTTATTTATCGATGATTGATTTTGTTGTTGCAGTGAACAATTCGAACCAAGAAAAAGACGGCAAAAAGAAACACACGAGGCCTACGTTTAGCGGGCAACAGATTTTTGCGCTGGAGAAGACGTTCGAGCAGACCAAGTACCTGGCCGGCCCGGAAAGGGCGAAACTGGCGTACGCTCTGGGCATGACCGAATCTCAAGTCAAGGTGAGAAACCAGAATATTGTAGTCTGTTTTTCTTCTTATAAACACTTTTTGTATCTTTAAACGCCCGTGCCACTCGTTGGTGGGTATGTCTCGATTAGTATACTATTTAAACAAATTTGTTTAGAATATAAAAGGGGTATTAAAAAGTTACTTTTATTTGAAAACATCTTGTTCGGCGGGGTGAACAAAGAAAACAAAGCGATCGATCTTGTTTTTGAGTGATACAAAAAAAAAGAAAAAAAAATGAGAGAAAAGTCACTGGGAACAAATCCCTTGCGCGCAGTGTTTACTTATTATATTATTATTATAATTTCGCGCCGGGGCGTGGCCCGCGGGTTTGGGATTACTTGTATATAATATTGTATTAATATTATTTCTCCCTCCTTATATGCGCGCAATGTGGACTTTTTTTTTACATTAAAAATTATATTAATATTATTATTATGCGAATTTGCATTTTTATTGAAAGCGGTTGCGGCGGCGGTGGCGGTTTTAACGTGTCGTCGCCGCCCTATGTATTCGTATTATAAACATATATATATATGTATATATACACGTGTCTCCACACGTTGTTGAGGGCGATTCAATTATCTGTGTAATCCTCCAATTATAGTGACGGTTTTGGGTCGTTCGCTCCCCATCCGTTCCCCACAGCAGACAGCTCGGTTTCTCCCGCCGGCATGTAAGCCCGAGGCCGTAACACTTGTATCCGTTCTCCTCAAATACATGACAGGCGGCGGCGGCGGCGGATATGCTCAACCAACTCTGCGTTACCGTGGTAACCGTGGTATAATATAGCGGGCTCAGGCAGCGGTGACGGCGCTTTTAATTGCCCCGCGAAGAAGCGCTAACGATCCGCTTCATTTTTCCCGCCGTCGCCGCCGCTGCCTGCCCGCCCGCCCGGCCGGCCGGCACCGCCATAAATCACGCCTTCAACGGACGACGTGGGGTGCACGGCCGCCGCCAACCGACCCTCTGCCGCCGCAAACATCCGACACTCGATGACGACGCTTCATTAGTGCACGCGCCACCGTGTAACCGCTGCTCGTTGTAAAACGCCTCCGCCGTCGTTGTCGCTTAATCTCTGTATAAAAAGTGCACGTGCCTGCGGCGGCGGCGTCGTCCCGTGTTATTATTGTTGTTGTTGTTGTTGTTGTTGGTGTTGTTGTCGCACTAATATAATTATAATAACGAGTAATATTAATATTATTATATGACGGTATCGCCGCAACGCGTTTTGTCAAAATAACGCACGCGGATTATTATTATAATAATATGCGGTATTACATAAATAATTTTGTCTTGGCGCCCATTAAGATCTATTACCTACATATACAATATATGTGTAATTATGAAAGGAAACGCGGTCGAAGCTGTTTCTTGTATCTCATTAAAGTATACATACTATACAATGTTAAATAGGCGTTAATTCATTTCAAAACTTATTTATTAACTTGACTTGACTTGATTATATGATAATTCTGAAAAGCTCTGATAAGTCGAAACGACTCATTTCATACAAGTGGTTCTTTAAACTATTACCCGATGGTCTTGTATATTATGGTAAATTGTCATTGCGAGTCATCAACGCGGTACAGCTGTTATTATTAAGTATTATGTATATTGTATAAAAACGATAAAACTCGACGAAATCGCCACGGTCATAAAATTTACATAAGACGTTGGTTGCATTTAAATATTGTAGAGTTGTACAGTGTATACTATTGGGTATAATGATAATGATAATACAGTGTACCAGAATACGTCAGGTCGTAATCATATTAATATATACGGCAGCAGCAATTGAAACGTACCTATATAATCCTTTATTTCGTTAAACGCGCCACTCCACAATTGCAGCAAATGGAAACAGCCAAAAAAAATAAAAATAAAAAATAGGGTTTAAAAGGCCGAGAGAGCATCACAACGAGATTCCGACCCCTCTGTGTGTATAAAATATTTTTGTTCCACGTCGGCCGTTGAGTTTAATTTTTATCGCTGCCCGTAAAAGACTCGTCGCGTTACGGTTTCCGAAAGATTTATATTCCTGTTTTGTTTCGCAGAGTTGGTTTTTCGTATACATGTATACAAGTCGTTTTTAGAGAAGCTAATTAAACACATACTTTATACGCATTACATGTACCTATATAGTACCTAAATGCACATAGTATATACTGTACACACAATCCAGTATTGAGTATTATCCCTTAATGTGTATTCAACCATAATGCACGCATATATACGGCCGCCACGGTATTTATAATATATAATATTATAATCATTGTATTATAACGAGATAACGTATACTTGGACGGCTTATATAGGCTTTCCTCGAGTGCGGCGCCGCCCACTCACTTGGGGTTTTAGCCCGGCATCGTCTTGGAATTCGGTATATATACCTATACATAATTACAAATTTACTCATACATAGTATATGAGGGGGCATAATTTCAGGTTAACTATACACAATATTATAATATTATGATCACACTAAAAGGGACTGTATATTTGCATAATATTATTATATATTGTTTGCTCGCCGTTCTTAAGACATATACAACTAAATATATTTCCACTGACACTATTCCTATAGTTACCAAACATAATACATTGTATGCTTGTTGTTGGATATAGAAAACCGTTTCCAAATTAACTAAACACCCAATGACCGATTACTGAACCGAGTACGGATTATGCCATTGATTTCTTCAAATATCATTATTTTTTTTTTCAACTTTGAACCAAAACCCAAAGGCAAATATTAGTAACGCTTGAGGGTGGGGGGTTGACTCAAACGGGCGGGGAGTGAGATTTTCGTTTTGGTTACACTATGACTATGATGATGATAAAAATAATAACAATAACAACAACAACGATACCCCGGTTAGCATTAGCACGGCCAAATCGGATTAGCCTTTGAGAAAACGCCATATGGGTACGATGGTCGCATATACACACATATACACTAAGTACAAGCGTGTTTATATATATATATATATATATGAGCCAAACACACACGCCCGCTCAGGGTTAACCGTCCGTAAACGGGTAGGTACACTTACAACCCCTTTTTTGGGGGGTTTGACTCGATAAACCAATTATTATACGCTTACACATATACAAAAGCTTAGGCGGCGGTCAACGCTATATATATACACATTTGTGTGTGTGTACAGTGTACATATTACATTATATTTACTTATATGTATATACACGGTGGTGTGGTAATCAATTTATAGAAAAATCCTACCGAGGGTAGCTGCTGTTGTGTAATATGTTTACGTTAGACACGGGGTGCAACCACCGTCCATTAACCGAGTTAAAGTATTATTGTGTTTTTTTGTTTCTTTCCCACTCTCTCTCTCTCTCTTGTGAACTTTGGTGGTAAAGTGCATTTGGGACTCGACATAACTAATGTAGTCAAGTCATTCTTATATGGTATGCAATATAATTACAATTTACAGTACGCTGTTGTACACAATGGGTTTGCAGAAATACTAATCGAATGATCTCCAGGGTTTTTATCCCGGATAGGTTACAACCGCTGAAAACGCATTTAATTTGATATACTTTACTGGTGACCAAGTTAAAAGTAATCAGAAAACTAAGTAATACTTGTAAAATATATATTATTATTTTGAAACGGAATCGAAGAATAATAATTGTATTATTTTAACTATAGAATTGTTTGTACAAAAAAAAAAAAATGCTTTTATTTCGGTGGGAGAGCAGTGAGGCAGTATGCATCTGCAATTCAATTAGTTTTTATACATTTATTTTTTTTTGTTTAATAAATAAAAACCGTTTTAATTAAACATCGCCGCGAAAACTTTCAACTTGAATATCATTATTTTATTTCCATTAATATATCATCGTTTAGTTTCATGTTTTTTTTCGTCATCCGTTTGTAAATCGACCGGCCATAATATTATAGGTATACTGATGGATAACGTTCAACGGGATATATTGCAATCCCACTCAGCTTACCTTAAAAACAAAATATTCGCCCACAAATTATTAATTTAATAATTACTATTATTATGCGTTACTCAATCGTTGATCTATGTGTGTGGGAATTATTAGGTACTTACCAAGGTGAGTACAAAAGGCCGGTACGGTGCTTTCCAGAATATAATGGACCTTGCTAGGACATCGTTAAGTCGAGTCACCGGATTAGTGCGGCCAAGGAAGTAAGGGTTAGAAGTATGCTGCTATAACCGGACGTGTCGGTCACGTTTTTTTTTTTAAACGTTTACATATTTTATAATAGGCTTTTAATATATTATATACACCGGACCCTCGTCGTTTTTTTGGTCGATAAAGAGGACATGTGTTCCTTTAGCAGTAAGCCGAACCTATCGTATACAGGATCTCCCTTTCGCATAATCGAGGGACGTTGATGCGGCTTTTGCGCGCGCCTGCTTTATACTTACCGGTGGCGCGCGGCTTGGGTTCGGCATTAACTTGTCTAACACTCGATTAATTAAAACATAATTCGGGGATTTCTTGCTGTGCACCCCTTTGCCTTTGCCCCTTTAGGCTCGTCGTCTCGGAAATCCCAAAATTAACATAATAATGTACACCGCCACCGCCGCAGTCCTATATGTGTATGTGTGTTAGATACCATCTGTATGATGTGCAACGTGTGGCGGCGGACAAAATCCGAAAAAATCGCCAAAGGACCCTTTACGAGCGTACGGGGGGGGGGGATGAAATTTGAATTTGTACCACTCGATCATGTCCGGAGATAATTTCCTCAGAATTGCATTTGAATAAATTTATAGCACGTGTGTGTTTCGATAACATCACACAGCAGTTTAAAAACACAACCAATCCCGGCAATGCTAAAGTCATCCGGGAACAAGTCCTGGATACGGTCAAATAGTTGTGCACCGACAGGAAAAAGTGTCACAAACTCTGTCCATTTGTATGTATGACAGAATTCAGATGTACAATACACACTATACATAATATATACGCTGTATACATATATATACACTATGCGTGTCAGCAGTGTAGTGTACCTATATCCCGGGTACAATAATAATATAATGATTTGTACAGTTTTTTTCCTGCCAGTATTATAAATTACCCGAATAGAAATAGTTTTTCGGATGACAAGTCCGAAGCGGAAAATCATAAATTCGGGATTATTGCCGGCGTTTCCAAATGCGATGGGCCAATAAATCTGCTAAAAACAAAACTGCTGGGGTGGTTTTGACCGGGTTTTTTGACGCTGACGCGCATACATCAACGTTAGGTTAAGTTTGGTGACAAAAAGCCTGTTTGGTTTTTGGAAAAAAACACCCTCCGACATAATCAGATTAGCTATATATACTAGGTCCTACCTATATGCAGTCGGTCGGCCAATGATTTATCGCCCCTCCTCCGTTAAATATAGTTTTAAAAAAATCGAATTGACCGAATTTGTTTTGTCCCCGTTTCATACTCGGCTCGTAACGTATTATTAAAACGGTCGTATAATAATATTAATAATAACAATGATAATAGTAGTAATAACACTGCGAAAGGGACCGTATAATCTTTATATATAGATAGATATATGATATGGGGGAGATCACTGCGCCAAGTCCGACTCGGCCGGGTCAAGATACGGACCTTTTGCGACCGATCGACTTGTATAGTTTATTTACATACCCCGTGGGGACAATAGGCTAATTATTATGCCCTATGCAATATTCTGATTGGGTTAATTAACGTTTACCATGATCAAAACGTGGTATAGGTATAGCCCGGGGCCAAGTTTACACGTTTTACACGCCTAATTAACCGGATACAATTGATTGGGGATCTGCGATACGGTCGATTTCGAATAATGTCTCCTCTAATGTCGGGACTTTGGCTATTAATCAGCATAATATTGGACCGCCCCGGTAAATCTGCCGGTTATCTATGCGATTTTACATAATATAATATAGGAATTAAATTCAATTTCAGCCCTAATTGTACGCGCGTTTTGATGTTATTTAATGTTATATATTATGTATGATGTTTACCGTGAGATATATTAGGTAATTGTAAATGCAGGTCCTAGACGTGACGGTCTTTCACAATTATTCGTACCATACCTATACCTACATTAATCATGTACACCCATAACCATGTGTGATATTATTACTATAATTGGGATTTAAAAAAAGGCGCACAGAGTCGTATTTCGGTCTTATTTAATTTGTACAATGGTAGATTATTATTATTGTTATTTCAATGACATAACCCGTTGTATACATGTATTCTAAAAAGGCAAAATGTAAATTAATGTCGTGGCGATGCGTTGGGGTGGGCCGAGGGGGTTAGTCGCAGGTTAAAAAAGTTTTTAACCGCACACGTTGCGCGTGCTTTTTATTCAAATGACAAACGCCCTGGAGAGCACTTGGCCCGCCTGTTTTAAATATATAAAAAAGACTATGGTAGAAAAAAAAACGACAGAAAAAAATGATTGTGAATGTGTTGAGGTGAGGGCACGTACACTCGAGTATAAAAAAAAAAGTCTCCATTGCGGTGCATATAAAAATAACAGTTTTCGTGTGTATTTTCATTATTGTTATTGTTATTATTATTATTATTTTTATTAATGCCAGGTCGCAGATTATGCGGTTTAATATTCACTTCTGAGAGCCGCTTTTAATTTTCATCCGATTTAATTTCCTTTAATACCTACCTCGTGTTCCAGAGCGCGTCGTTAATTATAATTCCAATGTGCAACATAAAAAAAAAACACAAAATGCTAAATTAAAACCGCCTTCACGGTCGTTTTACCGACAGTTTACTTTTTTTTATTATCGCCGTCACTGAGTATTTAATCGTATTACAGCTGAAATTGTCCACCGCCACCACCGCTTTGAAAGGATGTACATTTTAACGAACAATAAGTATACACACCATGTTGTGTAAGTACCGAACGGAAAAGGGTCGAAAAACGTTTATAAGCAATCCGTAAGTCATGCTCAGACTTTGTGGACCTTATCTAACGGAGTTTGGAAGCCATTTCTAGTTGAATTAGCAATACGGTTAGGTTAGATCATTTTGTGGTTTTTCTCCAATTTTTCTTTCGCCGTACACGGCTATTGGCGTAACATGGTTGGCAACACTGTGAATTACACGTCTCCCTCGCCTAATATATTACTCGGCAGTTTTGATCTCGTCAGCTTGTAAAGCAAACCGTCCCGCAATTAGTAGTATTATCGAACACGGCGGCGATGGAGGGGGGTCGCGGGTACACGCGGAGTGGGACGACGATGGCAAGACGTTGCAAGATGTGACGCCGAGATTATTGCTGTAATGCAGAGGGGAGGGGGGGGGTGGGGTGGCGGCTTAAGAGTGCCGCTACAGCGAAAGGAGAAGAAGGAGCACACGGGAGGGGCGGGGAGCGCGCGCGCAGTCCAGATGGCGCGGCGTCTTAATGCGGTTATTAAAAACAAGACCGTCTAACGACCTTTGCAAAAGCCCGAGGGTTGATTAATGGCGAATACATGGACGCCTAAATACCGCGTAATTTGCAAATACACCGGCACAAACGGCCCCCGGACGGTCTTAATTACGGGCCGTTCCCCCCGCAAATGGTTTAACTTTATAATTAAAATCGCATACAGCGATATGATATTATAAAGTTTTACCGCCTCCCCCGCCCCCGCCAGCCGCGCCTCGTGCAAATCGCCGTAGGAAATAATGGCCCGTGCCATATTATATCCGGTGCGCGCATTCTTCTTTTAATTATGTGGAAAACGTGTTGTACCTACACAGAAATAGCTAAACGATATCCGACTCCATCTTTTCGCAGTCGTGATACGCATTAATTACAATTATTACTTGGCCTTTGTTCTTTATGCTAAACCGTCGTCTTTTTTGTTTTGTTTTTACAGGTGTGGTTCCAGAACAGAAGGACCAAGTGGCGGAAAAAGCACGCCGCCGAAATGGCGACGGCCAAGAGGAAGCAAGAAGAAGCGGCCGACGAGAGCGACGAAGACGAGGACATGCGGGACGACAGTGCGGCCAAACGGCTCAAGAGGGAATTGGCCGCACATTACGGAGGCGGCGGCGGCGGCATATAGCATCAGGCTTGGCCGGGCGTTGGCCACCCTGGCACGCTGGACCTGAAGACCCACGAATAAATTTTACGTTATTCCTCTGGCGGTCGTTTCCGGCCGGTAAACAACTTATGTACTGCAAATTATTATTATTATTATCTGAAACGTCTAGTCATTTCATATATATATATATATAAATAATAAGTATTATATTATAATACTTAGATTAGATGATCTTAGTGTATGTGTAAAAATAGCTAAATGGTATTGCAGTGCTGACTCGCGGTTCTACCAAAATTATTATTATTATTGTTTCATTTTTTTTGTTTTTATTTAAATTATTATTATTTATTATTATTACTATTATTATTTTTTTTTTCTGTATAGTGTTGCGAAATGTGAACAATGCTTTTTTAATGACTATAAAAACATAATTATATTAAATTCATGTGAATAGAAGCTTTTTAATACAGTTTCTATACCAGTACTACGTGTCGTCATTTGTATAATATTATGTTTTAATTTAACTGCTTGTGCGCATCTCTGAGGAAGAGATTATATAGGATTATGGATGATGTGTAATTATACAATGTGAATATTATATATTATTATATCCTACAAATGGTATGTACAATGTACATATACAACATATACATAAAAAAAAACCTATTGTTAATAATATATACAATTAATTTAGCGGAAGATTTAATTGGATAATCGTTTGCACGTATATATTTATAAGTTATACATATACATTTTACCATTAAAAATATAAGAATTTAAAAGTCCTGTATAATCTTTTTATGGAAAAAACAAAATGTACAATATGTAATATGTTTATTTAAAAAAAAATCGCTATTACTATAATATGATGGCAATAATTTATATAACGGTAACTTTTCATCCATTGAAAGACTATAAATAAACGCAAATTATCTATAATAACATACCTACATTTTTTTGATTAATTATTTACACAAATAATTATGTTTCATATACAAGAAACTATTCAAAGAAGTAAGCAGAAGAACTTATTTTCAAAACATTTAAAGTGTATTTAGGCCAAGTTAATTGACTCTACACACGTTTACAAAGGATGTTTATAAGAGATGATCAAGCAAGCTACTCGACGTTGAGATCAATATATCTATTTCTACTTCGATTGACAGAACTGTATGGTTTTAAAACAACACACACAAAAGTGCTTGTGTATTTAAATAATTTGGTTTACTTAAATTATAAGAAAAAAACAAATGAAATTCATTTGACTTCCTACCCAAGTTTTTATGCTAGTAGACATAGGTAAAAAGTAATATATAGTTGACATAATCTTTAAATAAAGATTATGAACGAGCATAATCGTAAACAAGTTGACTTTTATGAGTAAAATTCTTTAATTATTCAGTTGGTGATTTAACGGTTGTTAATAATTACTATGTATAGTTAATTACCTCCAAAATAACACTCAATATTAAGCTAAAATTGAATTAAGTCGACTAAATATAAAAGTATATAGGAAAAAAATGCCATGTTTTTAGTAAAGTCGTGACTATATAAAGTGTGGTTGTCTGATCTAAGTGAAGTCTATAGAATAAGTCGTTTTACAATGTAGCTGATATACTAATGGCTTATGACCGTGTCTAACCAGTGACCAGTTGTATTGTTTCATACAAACAACGACTGAAAAAAATACTAAAATTTACACGGTTTAAATGGGAGCGATATACTTTTTTACTTATTACCGCTCGTCAGATCAGGGACAGACTGTAGAGGCTTTGGTCCAGTGGAAAAATTTAAAAGCTGCTCGTGACATTAATGTTGACATCGAATGAGTAATTGCCTATATTCTGGGTTGAATATAATAGGTGTATTTGTACAAAGTGTATATGTATAAAAGTATAAATATTATATGATGTATATGATTAATTTATTAGAAATCATTTATTGGGAACAACAACCGTAGTACGATTTTACCGATTCACCGTTTTGCTATGCCCAAAGTGAGTATAGAAAATAGAGGAGAACAAAAATAATTTATTTATACTTTTTATTTTCCTATAACAGTTTTGTGTATCGCTCATAATACGGCCGTTTTCGTGCGTTGGTTTATATATTATTGAATCATTCATATATATAGCGTGTATAGTGTGTGTGTGTGTTCTATTCTAATATATATGTGAAAACAGATTTCTCAATTGAATTAGAGGAAACGCGTGTAAGTATACAGGAGGACATGCGATATTAAGGGGGTATACGAGGACGGGATAAAAGGTACATTTGGTCGAAAAACTGTCCATTTCATAAGTCGACATAGTAGCCATGGTAACGGTCCGCACAGATTCTTATCGAATCAATTTCGGAATTCAAAAGGACTTACACCCTCCCCGTCACCTACCCCCACGCACCCCCTACGAATCGCCTGTGTTCGGACACGCGCGCGCCATTTATACCCTTGTAATACACCGTGCAACATTTTTATTTGCCATTTTTTTTTTTACCAGCCCTTGGCTTTATCAAAAATAAAATACCCTCGTATAACAAGTAGTAAGTACAAACTTATACGTACGGCGTTGCGGATGCTGTTGGTTTGATTCAGATATGTATAATAATATAAAACTCGCCTAATGTATACACATATACCATAGAGAGATGCTAAAAAGGACCACACAATTAATCCTCAGAAGAAAAGTTTGTCGTTTCATTCTCGAAAACGAGTTGAAAACAAGCAGTTCGTTCGTGTGTCATGTGTGTATACACACAAATCACAATTAAATACTTCCTGTGAAAGGATTATGTAAAGTTACACGCTCGGTTGTTGTATATGTACATTTTACCAAATTTATAATACAGAGTTGGTGAATTGTTGTGAACGCTTGCATGATATGTACCCTCAAGTATATAAGTTAATACATTGATAAATACAGAGATTCGGTATAAACACCAGCGAGACTATAATTACACATAGAAGTTGTTATCGCAAATTAGATTAGGAATTGGATGAATGGTCTTACTTAACTTTTATAGTGTACACAACTTCTCATCTATAGTGTACTGTATACAAGACAAAGTCAAACCGGTTGTTAAAAAGTTATCCTGGGTCTTGCATCAAGTATTAACTTAAGTATTTGTACTATATAACAATACGGTTTTATTTAATAGTTAATATTTTTAATTATTTGAACTATCAAAATATTATTATTATTGGCATGTTGAAATCTAAATCAAATATAAAGAGGCGACGATTGCCATATGGATTACTTTGAAACTGACCTTTCTCCAATGGAATATCATATCGTGCGCCTTGTGGGTTAGGTATGTAAACTGAGTTGGTTAATTTTTTCAATGTATTACCTAATACAGAATTTACTGTAATTATCATTGCACGAATAGCGTTTGTCTTTAGTGGCCGTCTGAGTTTTATAGTTACTCAATGATCGTTCCTCTACCATGTTGTATACATATACTATACGTATGCACGTACTGGCCATTGCCCATTACACGTGGCATAATACTTTTTTCGGCGACCTTTTTGTAATTTGTAAAGATTTTTTTACGACTCGGTCGTTTCTTCTGGCTTATACATACATATTATATAGTATAACACGAGAAAACCAGATCAATATTATATTATTACTATTATTATTATTATATATGGCATGCTTAATCCGCATTTTTCTCCCTTGCCAAACTATAATAATAATATGATGTATACCGCAAACGGGCAAAGTATAATACATGATATTTTATGTATATATATATATATATCGGCAGAGGACCGCAAATATTTATTAACGGATATGATCATTTTTCTTAAAGGTTTTATTATTATTATCATTGTGTATAAGCCGAGACTTGGCCGGATATTATACAACAAAAACGGTATATAACAATACTAATAATAATAATATGTAATATAGTATATCGCATAGTATACATAATATAATATTATATACGGTGTGTGTGTTTATAATATAATATGTGTGTGTGCTTGGTGGAGCCCAAGAAGAGTTGTGTGTACATGAACACAATGGCTTTACAAAGGTTCCAGGTGTCTTCTATGTGCCATTCCGGGGACGTCGTGGCTCTCATATCCGGCACCGTAATGCTTCCAAAAAATATTTACAATGGGCTTTTATTATTATTTATTTACTTATGGACTCGTTTTTTTTTCTTTTTTTTAACATCCGCTGATATTGGTCCACTCTACATATAAACCGTGTGCAGTTCGGGCAGTAAAAAAAAAATGTATCCACTATGACATTATTTTTTACATTACCTTATTATTACACGAGGGATGAAACGGTGATCACATCAACCCGTGCGTGCAGTAACACGAGGTCTTATCTTTATAAACCGCAATATTATTCTTTAACGTCTGCCAAGCAAAGCTTTCAACAATGTCTATATGTATAATATTAATATAACGATCAACGCTGTGTATGCTGTAGGTACTGCACAATTTTATAAAAAAAACTTTAATATGTTAGGTCGAAATAGTATTGCCACTTGTTTTAAGTATAAAGTATTAGATTTAACTTGGGACTCGCATCCAAGCTAAGTATATCGCTAATCGACTTTTTAAAATCTATGTTGGCCGGCAGTTCAAGATATTTATCGGCGTTGGCTGTTTTTCAAAAACTTCATTTAACGTTAAAGTTGTGAAGCTTTTAACAGTTAACTATAAGTACACGACATAACATCAAGGAAAATATATTATGGAAAATTGTTTTAGTTTTTTTCTAGGCAATATATCATTTTACAAGTGTGAGTGCGCACAAAGATCTATATGATGTAACTCGGTTGAGAGTTCAAAACTAGAACCGGAAGACGACAATATTTTGTTTATCCCTTTTTTACACACACACCGAATAATCTTAACGGATTATCTATATAGTTTATCGACTATATTTCTATGTAGTTATGACCAGCGAGATCAGTAGGACTGTAGTTATAAATCTATATTATATAAACCAAAGTTTGGTTACCAAATTGTATATGACGGATTCAGTGCTCATATGTTTGATGTAATAACATGTAATTGTATGGTCTTAGGCCAGTGGAAAAATGAACGAAAGATGTGCGCGCAGCACGATTTGGACGGGAATTAGCTGTACGATGGTATAATCGTTTTGGCAGAGCAGTTTTCGAATCCAACCTGACCCGACCCGAAATTAATTTTAATTTCGAATTTTCCGACACAATTAATGAACGCCACCGTCTCTAAAGCAATCTCCTTCATCCTAATCTGCGGGTCATTTCAATTACAGCCGTTGATCCTCCGAGTAATGGATATTCTCCTGTACACAGGCAGAGGCCATTTGTAAACAAAATTACTCATATAATTTCAAAATCTGTTAGCATCTCTCTAAATGAGTTGCCATTGCACGCGGCCGGCCCTATGCAGTATACATACAATCAAGGGGAGTGAGAGATATTTCGGTTTTAACAATATTCGTATAAACCTGCTGCTGACGGCCACTGAAATTCGCCTACATGCATTATACACGCATATGCAGAGCGGCGTTCCATTACACTTTAATAATAGTCTACTAAAATCTCTTTCTATAATCTGGTAACGTTTCCAATGTATGTGTGTATACATATAGGTATAATACGTGCGGTTTGCCATTTTTTCCCTCTGTGTATTTATTGAAAAATGTAAATAAT